GGTTGCAGCTGGGCGCGCGGAGGGGTGAGGTGGGTGGCGGGAGAAGGAACAACTGACGGAAAACAAGAAAGTGAGAGAGAAGATGCCGGGCCTAATCGCCGTGAGCGAGTTCGTCGAAGAGACGCGGGAGGACTACAACTCGCCCACCACATCCACCTTCGTCTCACGAATGCCACAGTGTAGGCAAACCATCACGTCCCTCGAGGAGGTGAGTGCAATCGTACAGTAACACCATGATGGTCGTCCGTAAACAATTGATAAATTGACCCAAGTTTTTTTTTTCTACTTCTATTTTCCATCAAGTAAACCGAAAGCCAATTAAACTGCGAGCAGCGTGCGCTAACGAAACGGCTGATAATTTCAATCAATTGAATTTTCATTGGCATCTCTGCCCTGCATTTTTCCCCTGCATTTCTAACCTACAATCGACGAAGCACTCCTCTCTCGCGAGAAGAATACAATCGCGTTCCTGCCTTTGTCGGCCTCTCTTTATTCCCCCTTTTTTTTCCCCCCTATCGCTACCAGCTGCCTCGCTTGCCGAATCATCCACCCTGCTCTCTGTCTCTGTGTCAGTGTTAACCATACCGGGCCGCGATCGGTGGTCGCGCGCGTGCTACGTGGGCGTGTATATCGCACAGTTGTGCCGACATTCGCGGTCGATTCTGTTCGCGCGGAATGTTGCCGATAATTGCAATAATTTACACAATACCAGAATGATTACACACTTGGTGTGTACGGTAACTTTTACAGATTTATCTCAATGTAAATCGGAAGTAATAATAATCGCTTGAGAAGCGTTAATACAATGCCTCAGGTTGGACGAGTACATTACTGCAATTAATACACTTAGCATTTCGCCAACTATTGTTATCACTTTGCAAGGGGTTGCTAAACAAAAAAGATTTTTACCATTCTGGCGCCGACTGTACGTGTCGATGTATGCGAGATCATACAAATTATTATTCCTGTTTGTATTTAATAGAATTATTCTATTGTATTTTGATACATATCGCTGTGGAAATTTTAAGACTCCCCGAGGGCCTCCCTTATTATCTTCCATTATCGTTAACGCTTTAAATGCAGAAATCGCGAAGTAACAGGCGATGATGCTATTATTATCGTCGCACGTGCTTTGAAATCCGATTTTCTTACCAGGAAACTGGCTACATTATCGGCTTATATTCCTCACCGTTTGATAGCTCATTTCACAATATTAGTAGCGCAGTACGTATAAATGTTCTTACGCAATCGCATTCAGCCTGTAATATCACTTCGGGAAATATTAAATGGGAAAAATAACTGCTCAAATGTGCTGTAAAATAGCTCGATAAGCAATTTTCGCAAGAAAATTGAACATTGCATGTCTTCTTTATGTGTGAGCGTCATTTCACCAGCTGCCGGCGCGATCATCGCTTCGCGTCGACGCTCCTAATTTGCGGCTGCGTCAATGACTATGATACGTATCTCTGTCAAATAGAATCCGAGCAACGGCAGTCTGTGCAGAATATATATATTTCATGCAATACGTAGCACAGGCATACAATAAAAATAATTTAAGCATTGAGTCAACAAATCTATTTTTCACTTTTTCAATAGAATAGAATAATAAAGAAATTTTTTTCAAATTGAATTCTTAATAGATTTTTCAGTTAATAGAGAGAAATGTGTGTGTGTTGACAAAAGATGTGACAAATCTCAAACACTTTAATTCAACAATAATAATTATTTTTTGTTTTATAAGTAATAAAATAAATGTTTTATAAATAATTGTATATTAATAAATTTTAAGCAAATTTATGCGAAACAAGTGAGATTTGCCGTAAAATGATATTTTGCATAACTGAATACACATAGCTCAAACCCGAGCAGAAGCAGCAATTAAAAGCAGCAGTCGCTTTTTACTCGTTTATTCAACTGTCGTGTTCCGCTGCGCTGCATTCCGAAAATTCCAAGTTGTTTCCAGATCCTTTCTCAGATATTCAACGATCAAATGTTCAAGATCGTAGACCGCCCGCAGCGTCTAAGGTACCCAACAGATCCTTTATACTAAATACGACGAATAACTGACTCGTGCATGACCAATTCTAGAAATATCGATCGAATAATAAATTCAAGGACGTTATTACGCGATTCCCGCAGGGTTGTAGATAATAATCTCATGATTTTCAATTCGAAATAATCTGGTTCTTGCAGAACTGTGATTGAACAGAGATTAGGGAATTGAATTATGCATGTATATTCCACCACCTTGATATTAGTTCCGAAATTGGAATAACTTCCAATATCACATATTACCGATTTTGTGATTATTACGGAAATGAGCAATGCCCTCGATTGAAGCATGAAATTTGAAAACTTTTTTTATTTAACCAAATAACATTAGAAGCGTGTAAAATAGTTCCGAAATATGCAAAGCTGAAAACGATAAACAGCCGAGCAAAAAAAGCGAACCTTGAAAGTTGAGTGTTTACGGACACGAAATGCTGTTTTAACCAAATCTGACCCTCCTTTGACGCATACTTATTTCGAATGCAAATTCACGTCCGACTTCCGGTATAGAATCGCGTATAATATTATGACGCGGTCTGTCGAAATGAAAAATTTCTCATCGACCAGGCTCGCTCCAGCTCTTTTTGGAGAAATATGTCCAATATCCATTTCAGCATGTCGGAATTTCCGGGTCACCGTTCCTTCTTCCCGCAGGAACGGCAAAGAGGGAGAAGGAAGATGCACGCGGTCGTTCGCGTCTCCTTAACGATCCGGAGAATTTTCGCGAGGAGAAAATTCTGCTTGGAGCATGCTCGTAGAGAGAGAGTGTGCTGGTTTCTTCTTCTCTTCTTTTTTTCTCCCCTCTTTCTCGCCGTGAATTCCTTCCTTGTCATGGTAACGACTGTAACACGATTAGAACATTTCGCCGTTATGGACATGCTGACAGACAGTGACGGGTATAATCGTTGCGGTCGAGTTGATTTAATTACGCGACAACGGCACTTATAATACATGCTAAGACGTACGATATCCTCTTCTCTGGCGATTATTCCGAATACACGCATAATGTATGCGCGATCTTGATTTCGAACGTCGAGCGTTTAATTCTCGATTGATCAATGATTCCAATTTTTAATATTCAACGCTTGATTTTTTATATTCAACTTTCAGTCAACACCTGTCAACTCTTAATCTTGAACATTTTTTTTAATTTTCCTGTAGAAATTTATTATCTTTTATACTAAGCTGCAATTCTTACGATAGTCGAAAGAATATAAAAATAAATAATGTAATCTTTTGTAGCTGTAAATCGGTTTAACAGTAAAATAATTTATTCTATTTTTACGTGATTTATACGAACACTTTTCATTTGACGGCGGTATAAATCAAGTTTCGAGAATTTTCTTGAGATAAGTCGATCCGTATTTTAGTTTTCTTTCACTCTCTTTCACTCCCTTCTTTTTCCCTCTCTCTTTCTCTCTTCTTTCTTTCCTTCTCTCGTACTAACAAAAATAGATTGCGACAGGTTCCAAAATAGTAGCGACGCTCGAATTTCGTACAGACTGGTGTCGTAAGTCCCAAGTGCTAAAGTGGGAAAGTGGGTGACTCGGAGACAGTCAGGGTCAAGAGTACGGGAGTAATGTTGCTCGAGGCTGCTCTTTAAACTACGTTGTAATTAACGAAAGTAAAAACTCGATATAATAAACACTTCGTCACTTTCGTTCTTCCGGCGTAGAAAAATGTGCACCGCTATTTCATCGCTTCAATCGTATTATTTTACTGCTTCGACATTATATTAAATATTATTTTATTGCTTTGAAATATTATAAATTGCCTGTTTCAATATTTATTTCCCAGTTTTTCCGCATAAATTAGTGAAAATACTAATAGTGGATTATATCTGTGAAAAAAGTAACGATTTTTGTTTCAAAAAAACAATTTCAAACAATTTCAAGAGATATTTGATCTGTTGAAAAATGGTTTTTAATTAATATCGAAAGTTATATGCGAGCAAAAACCATTGTTTACATGCAAAATTAAAAAAAAAGAATAACAAATATTTTTAATTTTTGAAACTGTGTAAACAAATATGCAAGTGCACTTCAACAATATATCGTTTTTGTTTTAACTACTACGAAGCATTAAAAATATTATGTTTCGAGTGTAAAATATTCTAAATCAAGCGCTATACATCGTGGAATTGGGATTTGTTTTTCGACACGAAATAATTCAATGAAGTACAACGTTGTATCGTAGAAGGTAGTTGCTGTCATCATGAAAAAAATGTACAAGTTTTTCTCGATGACAGCAATATGAAAGCAGCCGGTCTGCCTGCATCACAAATGAGCGCATTCTATTAACGCGGGATGATGTAAGAGTCGCTCGGGTGCTCGAAGGCGTAGAGGAGCCTGGCAGGATCTATTACTTCGCATGCATTTGATTATCGGGCGAGCGTTAACCGCTCGTAAGGACGACATTTTACGTTCGTAAGAGCTATCAGACCCTCGGGATTGTACTTTGGCGAACGATTTAGACCAATGGCGAGGTAATCAATTTCGGTTAAGCGCAGCTACGAGCGGGTTAAGTGTGCACTTAGTCCTCAGAGAATCGAGTTCTAAACTCGTTGCGTGAGTAAAAGCGATACAATTATTAGTCAGCTATTAAACGCATAATAGGGCGGACAATGATGCTAATAATGAAAATGATAATCACTGTATTGTGTATTTTAAGTATATAATTAACGGCTGAAGAGAAGATTTTTCCAAAATTTGTTACCGCTTATCGCTACGAATAGCAACGGTGTATAATTTCTGATTATCGTAATGTAATTATTCTATGGCTGAATATAATAATAAAAATATTTAGTCAGACGGCGATAATGTTGCGGAATTTTCTTACGCAAAAATGCGATTAATTGCGCGTTATTTTCGATGATAACCCTCTTATGGGTTAAGAAACAGAAGAGCACGTTCGAAGCGCAACGATCAATGTCACGACCTCTATCACGAATGTGAAAGCATAACCGAATAAGCGATGGATTAAATGAAATTAATAGAACGGATTGAGTTCGACGAATTGGAATGAACGGGACTTATATTAGGTTGTGCAGACGAGGTTAAATTGAGTTAAAGAAAAAAATTGCGGCAGACGCAATTTATAATCACAGTTAAGTGGGATCAATGAGATCTGACAATGATTGTGAAATATTGTCCGCGAAAT